GTCCCAGTGATGCCTCACACACACTGGATATGTGGAGAAAGGCAGAGTAGGAGTAGATGTGTGAGGAACAGCACTGAGAAATTGTGATGAAAATCATGGGGACGACATTTTCCAAATGGCATGAGGAGCTCTGGCTTGTACTGATACATAGTTTGTTTGCATGGCACTGTTTATAATTTTGCTTACACTTCCTAAATGGTATCCCTAATGGAAAATTATGATTTCCTTATAATCTCTCATGTATCTGAATTGTTTGCTGTATTTTCAGTGGGACAAACTACCATTTTCTTGACTGATTCAGAAAAGTGAACACTGGAGAGACAATGAACTGACCAGGAACAATGAAGCTCTGTATGTGAAACCTGGCTGGATAATACCTGTTGGATTGGAACTCATTGAAGCTCATTTGGGAAAATCCACCCTTGACCTCATCCCTTGCCTTTTCCATCACAGGGTACCACAGACAATTTCAGATGTGCCCAGGCCATCTGCTTCAGACATCCTTGAATGCAGCCATCCCCTGGGCACCAGGGGAAACTGTGTTTCCAGGACACACAAGGCACCAGGACACACAAGGCAGCAGCTCCTCTGGTTTTTGGGGTCCTTCAGTGAGAGATTAATTTGAAGCCTGTCTCTGGCAGCTCTCCAGGGCAATGGGGATATGTGGCTGTCACCACTTTGCACATCCCACATGATGAGGCACTTCACCTGTCGTGGAGCAAACCCCTGTGGAAAGCAGATCCTGGTTCCATTGCCTCAGCTCCTACACCATTTATTCCTCCATCTTCCTCCTTTGTATTAATTTCCTGAGCTGCCCTAGCTGTCCCATCTGCACAGCTACCAGCTGGTTTCCCATTTTTAATTGCCCTCAGAGGGCTTCTTCAAGAGCAACACCTGCTTTTGTGGGGGCCTTAATTTGTCACTGTCCAAACTGGAGAAGCAAGCATTTAAAATGCAGCCTCTATGAGTGTGTTGTATTTCTTCAAGTGCGTGATTAATTGCTAGGCTGCACTCAGCTATTTCTGCATAAAAGAGTTTCTTCTGCTGGAAAGCTCCCCACATTATGGATATTAAATATCTTCTTCTCCATAGGACCTAGGTTTGTTCATTCCATTTGTTCTTGATGAAAGAAGTTGTGTGAAACGCAAAGAAAGCTCAGTGCCCTCACAATTTTATTCTGTTTAGAGGAGGAAAAATAGTTATTTTTCTCTGTCAGAAGTGTTCTTGTAAGGAATCACTTGAGATTAAGGCAGGAAGGGATGTTTCAGGATTTTCACCCAGCCTCTGCAGCAGTGTAAGCAAGCAGTTTGTATAATCCAGCTCATAAACTGCTTGAATTCTACCTTAAAAAACATTCAGCTCTTTTTTTTGTCTTCTTTCACAGCTGCTATTTGAAGACTACGAGTTTTTAAGCCCAAAATTATTTCCTTGTTATAGCTGTGCTTGGAGAATCCTTCCATGGATGGGCAAGGGCTGCTTTCCCTCTCTTACAGAATCTACTCAGTTGGGATGTGGTCAGCAGGGTTACCCCTCTCTCAGCCCTTGCTTCTCATGGACCATGAATGAGCTGTAAAACAGAACCACATTGCTGCCTACTCTGGAAAGCAAGGACACAAAGTCTCACACTCCAAAGCTCCACCAGTATGGAATACATGGAAAAAGTATCAAGGGAGAGTGCAATTTATAGATGGAGGGAGGGAGGGAGGGATGGATGGATGGATGGATGGATGGATGGATGGGCAAATAAGCTCTTTAAAAAAAATAAAAAATTGTCAGAGCCTCCCTCTGCCCAGGGATCATGTAGAGGGTGTGAGCCACCTCTTGGAAATCAGAAGCAGGCTCCTGCTGGGTCACTTGGTGTGGTCATGTCCTTGCAGGGCTAAAACTAACCTGCATAGGGGGTACAGTGAATGCCAGTGCACTGGTTGTTTTAGTGATGTAGGATGGGCAGCATGTGGGACTGCTGAAGAAAGGTTAAAACTGCCTGTAATGATCATGTGGCCTGATTATATACATTTATGTGGAGCCTTTGCATGGAGGCAGCCCAGTGAGAGCAGCAGGCTGAGTGAGCTTTCAGTAGGGACTGTGGATGATCCCCTGCAAGCCTGACCTGTGTTCCAAAGGCTTTGCAACAGCTGATGTCACCTCAGGCTCCTTTTTTCTATCTGGAAAGGAAGCAATGACAGTCTCCAGCCAATTTTGAGGCTTAATTAATATTCATTGAACAATGTATCTAAGTGACGAGTAATGTTTTAGTGTATTATTAATTTATTGGGGAAAACAGAAGGCTGCTCAAGAGCTGTCAATGCCCACTCTGGCAGCCACAGAAAATTGGTTGGTCGTGATGCCAGCAGAGAATGCTGACATTTTGGGGCTGGCTGGCTCCCTGCAGCCCCTTGGTGAGGAGCGGAGGAGCATCCTCTATGTGTGCACTGGTGTCCCTTGATCCTGAACACAGATACAATCCTGGTACTAAAATGCCTCCAAGGCCAAGGGAGGATCAAAATCAACTCCCAGGAGCTCAGCTAAGCCTTGATCTGTGCTGGTGTGGAAAGTGGGCACCAAATTTCCCCTTCCTCAGCCCACTCTTCATACCCCACCTCACCATTTCTTTGGTACCTGTGACTCAAGGATTCCGCATCCAACCTGGAGCCAGGCTTCAAGTGGACACAAATAGAAGAGCCACAGGTGAGTCACTCGCTCTGCTCTGCTCCCCTCCCCTCCCTGCTTTTGTGTGTTTTGTTCCCCACCCGTGGGGTCAGGCTATAATGACAACAAAGGCAGCCTGGGATGCAGCCCAGGTCCTGAGAGCGGGGATTACATCCAGCTGGTTCCTCTCTCCGGTCATTTAGGGCCGCGTACACACAAAGGTTCTGCCCTGCCCACTCATCCTCCTGGAAACAGGAGCGGGTGGGAAGCTTGCTCGGAGTGCTACATAGAGGCAGCAGGTTTGGGGTGAGGAGGAATCGGCCGTAGCGCAAAGGGTGCGGGGAGAGTTCAAGGGGAGAAAGCGGGGGAGCTGCGATGGGAGCCGCAGAAGGAAGGAGCAGCCCGATCCCGCTCTCCTCAGGAAAAGCCGGGATCATGTCGGGCCCGGGGCCGGCCGGCAGGGGGCGCGCCCGGGCCCGCTCCGGGGCCCCTGAGGGCCGCGGAAATGGGAGCGAGGGGAGGGGCGGCGTGGGGCACATCTGTGTCCCCTTCTGGGCTCCTCGGTACATGAGGCACGTGGAGCTCCGGGAGCGGGTCCCGCCGAGGGCAAGAGACCGGCAGCAGCCCTGGGCGGTGCTGCGGCTGCACAAGGCGTTCCGCCTCTCGGACAGACACTGGGGACAGAGCAGGGCAGGCCGCTGGCAGCTGGCAGCGCTTTCCTGAGGAAACTGGGCTGGCAGAGCTGAACTGCTGCAATTGATACGGATTTGGGACAACGTCATGCTGGTTTTTAAGTCCACAGCAATTTTCATGTATTTGAAATATCAGAATTATCCATACAGTCCATATAATACATGCTGTCCATCTCTATGTAGCTTGAGAATTACTGTGTCCAGTCAACTGTAATTCTGAAATGTTCTTATTTTTGAACCTTGCCTTAACTTAGATGTGTTTCGATACTTACACAAAAAATGTTTTCCTGTGTATGTGAAAGGTGTCTTTTAAAACATCTGTTAAAGACTTCTTGTGCTAAAATGTAGGGTTTCAATCCTTCCTTTTCTACTAGGCCATGTTTTCTTTAAAAATTCCAGTTGGATTTGCTGCAACCTGCCCTCTCTGCTATGGCCCTACAGGGAAAAGAAGGTGAGGAAATGTTACAAGGAGCTTTTCCAATGCCTTCCACTTCCCTGTGGCCAGAGCTCGTTTGGTCTGCACCTCCCCTGAGGTGTGTGGGTCAACATCTGACAGATGCCACAGCACCAAGCCTGACAGAATTCAAGAAGCATTTGGACAATACTCTCGGGCACATGGTGTGATTCTTGAGGATGGTCCTGTGAAGGCCCAGAAATTGGACTTGATGACCTTTGCGGGTTCCTTCCGACTCAGAATACTCTGTGATTTTGTGATGTATTAGTTAGGAGACAAGGAAGATGACCAGCACCGCAAAACCCTCTCATTCACCCCTTATTTGCAAAGTCTCTGTACTTGTGAAGGGTGCAGGCTGGTGTCTGGGCCAATGAAGAAGTGTCTCCACAGGGCTGCAGTCTGTGCAGGCAGTGCAGGCTGCATGCAAGGGGATGCTGGAAGGCTCACGGGCTGAGCCTTAGCCAGCCATGCCGCTTGCATGGCCACCAAGGTCATTGGTAAAAAGAGCTCATCTTCTTTAGCTGTGAAATTGCCATTTTTGGCACTATTATGGGGAGCTGACTGAGACTTATTCCTGTGCAGGTATCCCCTCAGCACCTCCCTTTTCTGAGGACCCATGTTCATGGAATGTGAGGGGAGCATCTGGCAGACCTTGGCAGTGCTGCTGGGTCAGGGGGAGTCCTGCTGGGAATTAAAGGACTCGTTGGCATACCTGCACCTCCATCATCCGCTCCCTGCTCTGTGGTCAGTTAATATTGGGAAAAGGAGATAAATTCTGCTGAGTAGGCTTGGAGACTTGTTTCTGTTAAATTAGTCTCTTCCACGGACATTGTTGGTTTGTGGAGCTTAGAGTGGAGTAGGGACCCTTTGTCCTTGAGGCCTGTAGCGTTGGTTTTTGAGGTCTTGTTGACATTTGCACCATCTCCCACTGGGAAAGGGGGGCTCTGGACAGCCTGAGCCTCATGCACCCTCATACCAGGGACAATGCTCTTAATTTCTGGGCAGCAGCTGGTATGATGGTGACACAGTAGGCTTAGAGAAGTGGGTCTGGAGGGAGCATCCAGGGCTCACCTCTCTTCTTACAAGTGCAAAATGTTTTGTCATGTCTGTTGCCTAGTGGGAATGACGTGTTCCTGAATGCATGTTCAAAAGGTTAAATAATGAAATACATCTGGAAAAAAGGACTGTATATACGAGCTACATCATCTCATGTGATGCATTTAATGTCCTTAATTTACATGCTGACAACTTTGCCATTTCTAAACAATGTTATCATTTGTCTTTCTGATAATTAATCAGCACAAGCTTCAAACACTGTTTATCACACTTCGATGCAGCAATTAGTCAAGAAAGGCAAAGTGTTGAAGGGACAGTTTTGGGCTATTTTTTTTCTTCCAAAATCTTACAGTATTTACAAAGAAGTTCTTTTTCTAACACAATTTTAGAATTATTCACTCATTCACAATCAGTCATTGTATAAAAACATCATTCAGAAATAGTTTTTAAAATACACCCACCTCCATTGCATAGTATACAAAAAAATAGGTGAGAGTTAAGACACTTGATTTTTGAATGAGAATGTGAATTGATTCAGAGGTATGACATTTCTGAGGAAGAAAGATGCACTTTTCAAAAGATAATGAGCTGTAGTTCTCCTGAAGCTAGTGAGCTTCTTAAAGGTCTGCCATCAAATTTTGCTTTTACAGATCAAAATCTTTTACCATACACACAATGCTTGCATTAAGGTCAAACAAATCATATTGCAATTGGATTTACCCTTCAGTATTTGCACGTGAACACCAACAAATATGAGTTATACGAAGTACTCACAAGGATCAGTGTTGGTTTCATGTGTCATGGCCCATCTGTGGAACTACTCAAGGGACCCAATTTGTTATTTTCAATTTCTGTTGGTATAACTGAGGAGCTGAATATACCCTTATGCCTTTAGAAACATTTCTTCTGTAAGAAGACCTTGGCTTCTGCTCTCTGGTAAGACCTAAAATGGTATGTTGTGGAGGGGTTAGCAGGCACTGATGGTGTCTCATCCTGATGATTTTCAGACAAAACTTGGTAATTTGGTTATCTTGTATGCTGACTTTTTTTTCTTCTTCTTTTTTTTTTTCCTTTAAAAATGTGCTCCAGTGATTTCATTAAGCCTGGTCCGTTAAAGAGCACCAGGGAACTCTGAACAATAGGTGCTTGTTTTACAGCTACTGCAAATGCTTCGAAAGCACTAAATTGCCTTTTATACTCAACAGTCTAATAACAAAGCCTGATTTTTTCAATTTTTCTCTCAACTGATTTGATGGTTCACTTGAGCTTTAATAACACATTACATAAATCTTTACAGCTAGTACAGAAGTCTTTTGTCAAGTTTAATTTGGTGTTTGGTTTTTTCCCCCACAGTGTAATCATTCAGCCTTAAATGCACTGTAGCACACATACCAGGATCGTGCTTGTCTCTGGATCCAGAAGAGTAGTAAGTCCTAGAGGTTTGTTTTACATGGGGAGGGACCTCAGTCCTTCCAAAGGCAGCTGTTGCTGAAAGCTCCTGGTTCAGAGGTATATCAGATAAAGTGCTGTGCACTCCCGAAGGCACCTCTGGCAATAGCTCTGTCCTCTCCTGCTGTTTCATTTAACTTTGTTGTTACAACTTTGCTTGTGCTTGATAAACCCATGGTGGAAAAAATCCCCAGGATTAGCTGGGAAGGCGGGACATGTATGAGTGTAGACCTCTCTCCCTGCTGCAGAATAAAGGGAAATGTGCTGATCACTAGGCGGAGGTATTGAGAGCAAAAGCTGATAGAAGAGCAGTAAATGTTGAAAAAACTTCAGAAATGCAATTGGGTATAAAACATCAAAATGTGATCAGATTATATTATCTTCACCAGGAAAAGCAGAGAGGCTGTTAAATGCCAGACTTCCCCATCCTATGTTCTCCTGACCCTTGTGTGTCCAGATGTCTGTTCATTTCCCACTGGCTTTATGGTCCCTCAGCAAAGCTCTTGGCTCTTTAAAGACTGTGTCTGTATAGACAGGGCTCGGCTGGTGCTGTGAGGAGATGATGGGGCTCTGCTGCTGCTGGAGCTGGAGATGAAGGGGTGAATCAGGAAGAACCCAGACACATGCAGAGAGGTTGGTCTCCGCTCCTGAACGTCTCAGTATGGCCAACCAGAGTGAGCTCCTCAGTGAAAGATGCTGGGGTGAGATGTGTTTGGTGCTCAGAGATCCCCATGTGCACCCACCAGAAAACTTTGTGGATACCCAGCCAGGATTCTGCCCTCACTGGCAGTGCTGTAAATCTAGGTGAGTGACACCATTGTCCCTAGCTGTGTTTGGAGCAGCACAAAACCTGGCTTCATATTAAAATCATTGTAAATGCAGGATTGGTCAGATTCATGCCTGGTGGAGCACAATGGAAGAGTGGGGGACAGCACTCTATTAATGATGCTATTATTCAAATGAAAAACTTTAAAAAAACAAACAGAGAAGGATGGAGTTGCTGGTGACACTGACTGACATTGTTCAGGGGTCACAGTAAGGAGATCTGCCTGGAGAACAGGGAGAGCAGAGCTAGTGCCAGGACACAGCTGCTGCGCGGGGGGAGTGGTGCCAAGGGGGCTGTGTTTCGGAGCATGCACTCCACCCTGGACCAGGAGCCATTGTTGGGCAGTGGCTGTACTCCTGCCAGGCTGCACATGATGTTGTAAACATCCACAGATCTGATGGGAGGCGCTCGGTAGTTGGATCGGAAATCTGCAGGCAAAAGAGAGGAGATGGCATCATGCAACTTGGGGCTTAGCCCCTGGAATGTGGGGTGCTGTGGGGCAAGGGCTCCTTTGCCTTTCTTGGGACTTACCCACCAGGCTGGGATGTGTCGTGCTATACAATTTAGAGCATAGCTCAGCAAAAACATTATTTTAAACAATTTTATTCATTATTTTTATTCTAGACCAATTTTATTCTAAAAGCTAAAAAAGCCCTGAATTTTTAAGTACAGGAGCTACTTTACTGCATGTGCTTGATAGACGTAATAGCCTGACATAACTGTATTGCACATTCTGCTTTCACTGGTGCAATACAATTAGCCTGGTACTCTGCGTGGTGCTCTGCCCTATTTAAAGGGCCTGATGAAGTGGGAACCAGGAGTTATGTGTCTGCCCATGAGACAGGTGGGTGAGTTATGCTGCAGCCTTCCCAAAGAAAGTGCCCTGCTGTAGTGAGTCTGAATTCCCTGACAAAAGCAGGATTAATGTGTTTCAAATAGAATTGAAAGCTTAGGCCAAAATTTAGGAAAACAGGGCAAAGAGTTAGTAACTGCACTGGGACATCAGAGAGAGGCTGACCAAACCCCTTCACATCTCTCTGCCCTGTTTCTTCAGCTATAAAATAGATGCAGTGCAACAAACCCTCCCTAGTGAGGAAATTCTGCCATCTATTTGTAAATTTTTGGTGTCGCAGAGAGCTGCATCGGGGTCCTGATGTGCCAGGGGGCTGCAGGGATGCAGGGGTGAAGACCATGGGGCTGCAGGGGAAGTGGAACACCAGGGATGGTGTCACTGTACCTGGTCCATATGCGAGGAAGAAGCCTCTCATGTCCATGAGCTCGTTGTCGTAGCCATGCCAGCCATTCTGCCAGGCCTCCTTCCTCCCCGTCCCGTTCTCCCAGTAGGGCAGCTTGTCTCTGCTCTGGGTGACAACAGCAGAGCATGGTTAGTGCCTGACTGCTGGGCTGTGCTAGGGCACTGTGGGGTGCCATGTTATGTCTCCATGTGCTGTACCACCCCTTCAGGCCCCACACTGTGCTGTGACCTGCACAGGAGCTCATGCCCAGGAGGGGTGACCCCTCCTGACAGGCTTTGCTGTCTCAGTGAGTAACCACCTCCCCCTCCACAGGGAGGGGAGGACAACTCATGTAGATTTCTGCCACAAGCACAAAGTACCACAGTGGTATGTGACACGTGTAAGGAAGGTGCTGGCCCTCTCCCCATCCTGCAGCACTGCTCTCCCACCCAGCACCATGCACTTCCGTGGGTTTACTGGGGTGTTGTTCTGTCCCACATGCCATTGACACCCTAAAAAAATAAGTAATTTTTTGTTCCATTTGACTAGTCAGCCTAATAATACAAATGTCACCCCTACTAGATATTTTCTAATTATTACTTCTTCTCCCTACCTGTTTTTTGTATTAAAGCAATGAGATTTGTTTCAGGGAACACTGGCTCTGACCTGAGACAGAATACTACAGAATGGGTCAGGTTAGAAGAGATCACCGTAGATCATCTGGTCCAACCTCCCTGTTCAAGCAGGGTTGTTCTGGATCACATTGCACAGGATTGCATCCAAACAGTTCTTGAACATCTCCAGTGAGAGATGTTCACAGCTTCTCTGGGTAATCTGTTCCAGATTAAATGAAACTACTTAGCTAATAAATTTCTTTTCCTGCCCCCATGTATTTCCCTGCTCTGAGCAAGCCAAGAAGAAAACCGGCTCCTTCTCCTCCTCCTGCCATAGCCCCTCCTTATGCTGCAGCTTCCTGTGAATCCTGGGGATTTAGTGTGTTGCTCGCCATCAGGCAACCTGCACAGCATTTGCCAGCATTAGCTTCAGACAAGTGAAGTCACTTTAAATTTCTGGTGGTTCTTTGGCAGCATCATGACACTGCCATACCTACACCTCTCCATGGTCCTAGCAGATGTCCTGGACACAGCTGCTTCCCCAGAAATATCAAATGCAGGAGGAGATAGTGTGCTTTCCATGACCCACCCAGACATCAGGAGACACCTACTTGCAACAGAATGTGCAAAGGCACAGCAATTACCATTATTTTTGGTGCTAGTTGAGTCAGAAAACATACTACTAACTTTCATAACTGCAGCTGAAGTGAGAGCTCATTAAATGGAACCACTAATGGCAGTAGCTTGAGGGACAGGACTGTGCAAGCATCCCAGCACTGCCCTTCTGGAGCATCGGGCTCTGCCTTACAGCAAACCCCAAAAACTCCTGAGGCTTCTTTGGGGCCAGGACACTGGCAGCACACTAGTGCCTGCCTGGCAAGTCCAAATGGGATGGAGAATTCATCCGAGATGTAATTTTTCATACTTAGACTAAGCCTGGCTAGCAATCCTTGTCAAAGCTGAAACAGGCATATCTGAGACTGCAGACGATGGAGTTTTCCCTGCATGTGCATGTTTAGAAAATCTGCTGCAACTGATCTCTAAATGCTGGGCAAGTACACTGGGATGGGTACAGAGCGAGCATGCAGCCCTAAGACCATTGTTGCACACAGGAGAGCAGCAGGGGGATCTTAGGCCCAAAGGATGGGGACTGCTCACTTGTGTGAAGGGAACAAGGTCATATAAGCAGATCAGCTTTGATACAGCATGAAATCCCTCCTCATCCTGCTTTAACCAAAATGTAGATGGGCTTCAGTTCCTATGCTTCATGATGAGGAAAACAACTTTCCAAATACACCCCTTTATCTCTTCAAAAAACCACCACCAACAACAAAATCCCCTTTTTTCAAACAGCTTTTAGCTATCCACTAGCTAACAGAGAGTTAAAAAACCCTGGGAGCATGACAGGGAAGAGCTGTACATCCTCTCTTCAGTGGTTTGGGCAGGAAGTATAATAGAAGGCTCAATAATTTCTTTGAAAAAATATGACAGGAAACTTTCATTTTCATATCCCATTCACAGATAATGAAAATGTACCAAAGAGAAGGAAAATCTGACAGCATTAATGAGAGGACATTCTTGAAAATTGGAAACAATGGGAAGGAATGGGCAGAGAGACAGAAATAATTATCATAGCAGCAGTGTTTGCTGCACTGTTATTAAGGTTTGTCAGACTTTCAATGATTTTTAAAGTGCTTTTTTATTTTCTACAGAATATGTAAAAATGTTCTATTTTGAACTTTTGTGCAAGAGAGTTTAGTTGTATTTTTTAAAAATAATTTTGGAGAAAATGTTTCAGATTCCTACTTTACCTGTCTAAATCTTAACTCTGGCTTTTTATACTTTTTTTTTTTTTTAAATCAGAAATGTGGTACTCACCCAGCTGTATTCAAAAGCATTCAGGTTTTTTTAAAGGTGCATTTTTATTCAGCTGTAGAAACTATTATGCTAAATTCATGTTGGCTAGTGAGAAATGTTGTAGTGTGGCCTGAGCAAAGCTTGGTGAGCAGTAGCTCTGAAGGCCATAAAAGAGGATGCTCAGCTGAGTTACAATAACCTGAAAGGCAGTGAAGTGCACTGACTATGCTGGGACACAAAAGAAACTCAGGACTCCATGGTTCTGTTGCCAACTTGCTGGCTTCATGTGTGGCCTTGGGCAAGTCACTTAATACCACTGCTCAGTTTACCTCCTTAGAAGACACACAGTTGTCTCACCCTCTGAGCTGTGCTGAGCTGCAATTAGTATCTGTAATGTGGAGGTGCCCGGTAGTGACACAAGTAACAACAACAATTCATAGTAAGAAAATAAGTTACTATAAAAAATCTCTTCATGCCTGGGTTCTCTGCTTAACAAGTTCCCAGGTTTTCAGTGTGTGCACCAGGAATCTCTGAGGAGTAAATCTCCTGTCTGACCCTTTTGAGACTGGTGGGCTTGGGAGAAATGGGGCATTTTTAGGACAGTCTGATGAGAGGAAAGCCAGGCAGAAATAAAAATTGCCACAAGGTACTGCTGAATGGAGGGATAATAAGGACTTGAAATGGAAACACTCTTTTTGTGCCTGAAATGAAGGTAGATGGCAAGGGGCGGGGGGGAAGAGGAGTAAGGCAACAAAACTGGAGTGTTTTCACAAGAAACAAGAATGTTTTCTAAACAAGAATGTTTTCTACAAGAACTACTGCTTTATGACAGTAAAAAAGAGGCATCTTGACCATTTAAATGTCTGCCTTTATGTAGCTGCAATACCTTTAAGTTCTTTTAAGCACACAGCAGAATTTGACATTAGTTTTGTAGTCAGCCCATTGACTTTAACTCAGTGATCAGCAATATATTGCACCTTTTCATGCTCCTGTCTAAGTATTTTGCTTCTATACTTTACCTCTACTATGAACCATCCTTCTTCAGCCACGAGAGTTAGTGGAGACACAAATTTTCCTTTTTTGTAGAAAAACCTGTTTGGAATATCCTGTATGTTATAAACATCCATGTGTTCCACAGCTTTCAATTTTTGATATATCTGCAAAACAAATGAATGTTAGGACACCATATGGCTGTAAAGATCATAAATACACTAATGGATACATGGAAACACCTGGATTTGCAGAATAGCCAATCCCCTGTAATGGCTAATCATGAGCACATTCACACCAGGACTTTGCCTGTCCAAAGATCATGGCCGGACAAAACCTGCCTATGTGGTTTAGGGGATTCTAAAAACTCAGATCATGAACACGTAGAAATGTGTGAATTCATGTATTATGTATATTTATAATACACATGCTCACAAATGTATTCATGTGAGTGTACCAGCCTACAGAAACAGAGCAGGAGAAACCACACCTCCACAGGAGGCAGTGAGCGAAGTGGTGAGACACTCAAAGGCACCTCGCGGACTGTGGACAGGTGTGGAAAAGAGATATTGTCTTTAGCATCTGCAACTCATTCCCTCTTTGTGCTCTTGAGTGGAGAATGAATGTCACCTCACCTGTGTTTCTTGCCCAGTCAATCACTATCAAGGGATTGATAGTGCTCAGTTATCTGCTTTGTTAGTTATCTGATGTGAGATTAATTAGCCAAAGCCTGCAGCTTTGAATCTGCACAGTGCCATGCAAGTGGTTTATTAATATTAATTGTACTGTCTGGAATATAATCACACAAATGTCATTACACCACAAATTATTCAGAAAATAGATTTTAAATGCCTGGAAAATATGTTAATATGTCACAGAGAAGGCAGCTATTGGAGCTCCCAGACTCTATATTGTTCTTTAACAAGTTAAATATAAATAATCTTCATGAATAAATAGCTCAGTTCTTCAAAGAATGAAAGGTTCTTCACTAACCTTTCAGTTAAGTCACCCTTGTGTGTGTATCTGTGTGCCAGATATGTGCAATGATATGCAGTGACCATAAAGACAGTGACCAGGGTGTGATGGCACAATTCCTTCCACCATGACTAGGCTAGAGAGTGGTCACCAGTACTGCTGGTGCTTTGAAATGGAGTAATTCTTAGAGATGATAACCATTATATTATAATACACTCCAACTCATAAACATAGCTCTTTAAAATTCATTAGAAATAGAGAATCTAGCTATTGGGAAACTGAAAATCAACTTTATTTTGCTTAAAAAGCAGCCCTCCAGTAAGAAATCCTGAAAAGAAATGAAGGAAGGAAACAAAACCATAGTATAAGGCATTGTACTTTATTCTCCTTAGGAATATTAGGCTGTTTAATGAGAGAGAAGCATGTGCTGAAGAGCTTTGTCAGATGAAACCCCATGGCTGTGTGAAGTTGCAACTTGCCCTTGTTTGAAGGTCTGGCCTACAAAACCAGGGAGCTCTGGGTTAAGCATATCAATGCTGTGATCCCCTGTGATGCACTTCCAGTGAATTGCTCGTGCATACCCCTAAGACAACTTTCAGTTCTAGCACTAATTTGAAATGCTCACAATATCACAGACACAATTCCTGCAGAGACCGTTTGGGTGCAAAGATCAGCAAATATTCCCTTTAAAAAAAAATGCACAGGCTAAAATATACTGTAACTGGATAAAATATAATGTAGAAACCAAAACTATTTGCCTGGGGAACAGCTTGCCCATTTTGTACATCCACTCATCTATGTTCTGAGGACAGCAGTAATGACTTCTCATGCATTAGTTTTGGGTTAAATTATAAAGTACTCGTGTATTAGTCAGAGAAATTACATTTCATTATTTTCAAGTGATTTTCAAATCTTTTCTCTATTGTTTTAATTTATCTCTCAAAACTCTGAAGTTCTAGCATTGAGCTTTTATGGTTCCAACATGCTTCATCAAAAATTCCTCCAAGGACAATATTGTAAAAAAAAAAATTTTTTTTACAATTCTGATCTAATGGAGTTAGTTCCTCAGTGGGACTTTACTGGAATATGAATGCCTGAACCTGCTTCAGATGATTTGAACATACTAGCTAGAGTGCCAATAAATTGACTAATATATATAAAATCCTAAAAGTGCATTTTGAACTAAAATATTTTAGCTATTTATCAGAAGCTAGTAGGGGTGGGGTTTAAAAGCATGTGTCCTTGCCATGTAACAGTGAAATTTCATGCTTCTTAGTTTGCCTGGTGTGACTTTCCTTCGGAAACCAGCATCACAAGGATGTCACAGCATCCAAGTCTGACTTCTGATAAGAGCTGATTTTTGCACATATCTCTGAGAGCAGTATTTGGATGTTAAGAGAAAACAGAAGACACAATTGGCATAAAAACTGAGAAAACACAAAACTGAGGGTACAACTAGGCTGTACTCACCTCTGCATGCTTCTCTGGAGTTGGCCAGAGGCTCACAACAGGACCTCGGTCTTTCATTTGTATGGTATCACTCATATTGATATAGTTTTTCAGCTCAATCACTTTATCTGCCCAAGAGATGTCTGTCATCCCATGATCAGAGAAAAGGAGGACGTTGATATCATTCTGAAGGCCTTTTCTCTGTGAAGAAAGTGCATGACAACTTTTAAGGCCATGTAAGAGCTTTGCACTGTTTGTGCCCACTAGAAAATGTAAATCACCTTTTGACCTCCACTGTTTCTGTGGAAGTTAACCAGAAGGATCATGTCCATGAATGTCCTGCAATGTGCTTTGCCACCCACCCATAATGGTGGACATCCACTTTTACTTGCTGCTCTGGAAGAGTCTGAGAGCTTAGCACCAGAGTTTTTCCAAAACAAGTCCATGCAGCAATTTTGCCATGATAACACTTGTGGAAGGAGTGTTTCTCTCTTTCCCTCCCAAACAGGAGCACTTAGCATTAGAGCTTTTAATAGTTAGTGAAATTGAAGGTGCGTATTCCTCTATTCACTGAAACATATAAAAACTCCAACATACATTTATCATTGTCAGAAATATTCATAATTGAATTGTCATTTACCCAAAAGACTTTCTCACTGCAAAATCATTTCAATAATGCTTTTTAAAAATCAAGTTTAAAGTACAGAGTTCTGAATGCTGTCATAAAAACCTCTATAAAAGTTAATAGTCTGATTCCACAAACCTTAGGAAACACAGTTTTGATTCCTTTGACTACAATGAAGTTCAGCTGGCAACACAAGCCGTAAACAGAGCAACATGTATATTGGTTCGTGGCTTCCTGAGGCTACTGGTGTGAATCCACCAGGAGGGTTATAATGCCATCAATGAAAATAATAATCAGGGTAATGGTGCCTTGACATTCACATGAACTCAGTAGCCTGTTTCTCAGGAAATAAAAATTTACAGCCACTGCATTCAGTTACAGGTGTTAAATAGGCTCTCATCAGTGCCCCAAAGACCAGTTTTAAAAGCCTTTTCCAAAGGCACGCAGGAGCTTGGTTTATGGATGCCACTCACCTTGATGAGTGAGATCATGTTGCTCAAGGCTTTGTCCACTTCCTTCAAAGCGTTCTTGCGCTGCTGGGACGAAGGGCCGTAGTGGTGGCCCTCCACATCGATGCGCTCGTAGTACACTGCGGCCATCTCGGCGCTGTTGTTGCTGGGTGTGGGACAGAGGGCAAGGAGTGAAAAGCTGACACACATGGAGACCTCATGGCTGCTGGCATTGTTTTCTTCACAAGCATGTAGAGCCACAAAACCCCGTTTTCTGCTTCCAGCCTGTGCTGTCCTACCACCTATTGCATTGCTGGGCTCATTATTCACACCTGGAGTCTCCTGAGTTTTCCTGAGACTCCCATCAGAGGCAGCAGGTGGAAACTGCCATGTGCAGGCTGGCCTGGCAGTGCTCTACTAACCTCTTTGAATTAGGAAGGCAGTTTTTTCTTTAATAACAAAGAAATTCTGATTTCTTTGCTGAATGCCCCTATTAAAAGGATTATGGGAATTACCAGTCAAATGTGCTTTAATTAAAGTTTGGCACTTCTGGCTTTCTCCTGTGTGAGGTCTTCCAAACCACAGAGGTCAACTCAGGATGTGCTCTGCCTTACAAAACACCAAGCAGTATGAACTGGGATGAGATTTTAGAAGGGGGTTTTATTCAGGAGCATGAGCAAGGGAAACTAAGGTAATCTCAGAATTGCACAAGTTTAGCTGATCGCACTTTTCTGTATTGATTGCTCTCAACCTCATTAGTGGGAATAGCACACACATCAGTGCTTAATTTAATTTTCACGACCACTTTACTATTCACTGTAAAACTCCCTGAGAGAAGTTGTGTGGATAAAATCACAAACCTATACTCCTGAACCCAAACCCAGTCTTTTTGTGCTGTACTTAATATATGGCAGAGCATGCCATCCCTATTACATGCTCTCATCCATATGAAGATCCCTACAGAAAGACTTGTTAGTCCAGCACCTCTGATTAAAGGCACCTGGGTAGTCTGGTGTAATGAGTGGGACAGAAGAAGCAAATCAGAGATGAGGAACTGAGTGAATGAATTAGGGTCTGTCATTTGCATTTCTCAGTTTGTAGAAGGCCTCAGAGGAGCAGTCCTGTGAGAAGCTGAAGATGTCTGCTGCGGTGGGAATTTCTCCACTGCTGGCCCTGCAGAACAGTGTTGTTCCTCACTCTTCAAGATTTTAAAATAATTTAAATGAGGCGGTACTCCCCTCTCCCCAGTTTCATTTTAAGTATTACTTTCCATCTGTATTAGGCATAAATTATTTTCTAAAGTTTAACCCTGTAATTTCTCTATTTCATACACAGTCATTGAACCTACTGAAATAGTTCTCTTCTGTTGCAGTACCTGTATTATCAGCTACTGAAACTAAGTTATGTCTTCTCACCTGTAAGTATATTATCATTTTGATCAAGATAGAAGCTAAGACAGAGGTTTATTGCATAAAACAAGTTATCTCATTTAGGTTGTGGTGAGATTTCTCCGTGAGGGCTCAGTGTAAGAAAGAATATTTAATTACTTCAATGGGACAAGCTCCAGTAATGCAGCGTGCTTACGAGTTTGCAGGATTTGGTACAGCATGTCTGGGGCTTGACTTTGTTTCCATTTTTGCCTGTTTTTCTATGTAAAAAAAGGGTTTTCTAAGTTTTCTAAGAAAACCCTTAACATGGCTTACATGGGAGAAGTATTCTGTCTTTAGACAGAGGTATTCTGTTCGTCCTGTCTCCTTCCATTACCAGTAACTTTCTATATAAATTACTTAGAAAAGAATGCTGGAGAAAGTTGGACAGCATTGATGGCAACACCAAATAGTATTTTATATTCGACCAGCACACTTTGCAAGTACAATGCAGACCTCATGACACCTCTCCAGGAAGGTAGGTAGATTACAACAGCCCATAAATTACAGCTGTTGAAAAGATTCAAGGGAGTTTTTAGTTTCACTTGCCAAAAACAGATGCTTGACTTTGTTTTGAATATTCTTGGTCCAAATAGTGGTCTTGAAGCACCTGTTTGAAAAGACTGGAGAATATTGCTGAAGGATGATTTCCTTTGGTTGCAAGAAAAGCTCAGTGGGTCCCTGATGAGTTAGGTACTTCTCTACCCTGGAGTCCCTGCAAGGTTTGCTAATGGTGGGAGCCCAAGTGCAGCTCTTTAACTACTAATACCTGCCATTAGGGCTACTGAGCTCCAGACACTGCTCCAGACAGCAGACTGCCCTTGCCACAGGCTGTTTTCTCACATATAGCTAAGGACAGCCTCAGCCTAATGGGCTTTTCCAATTACCTAGGGTGTGGAAAGGAAACACACTGCATTTGCCAGCCTTTGAACAGCTTCAAAAGTCAAAAGCACTTGTGAATGATATAGATGACAAGCTGAAGACTCTTCTACTTGGAGATGCTAAATCCTGCTAAATGAATATGACTGCAATAAAAGCATTTCAGAGGCTTTACTTCTTATGGGCTGGCACAGCAGCATGGAACTTCTTCTTCTAAATCTTAAAGAAATAAACAAAGAGGAACGATGAGAGAAAGAATAAGGAAAACCTACCAGATTTTTAATCTGTTCATTCTCTACCCTCCCTTCTTTCTTTAAGTCCCTGTATATTTACACCCAAACCTGATTATTAATTTTATCTAAGATCATTCATTTTTCCTCTTTCCCACCTTGTTGGAGACAGGGCACTTCGTTTAAAGGAAAAGAACTCAGGAAGAAATTCACCAGGGATGGTGTGTAAACAGACACCAGCGACAGGACCTCCTGCTGCACTGGGATGATCTGTAGGATTTGGGCACTTCAAAAGACTGTAGCTGTTATTTGTGACATCTTGGTGGCAGGGATTTACACTTTTCTTGAAATCATCAGCTTTCACCTCTTGCAAGTTGTTCCACCAAAACTGTTGTGTCCCTTTCCCTTTCCACCGCAGACAGCAACAGGCAGCCTTGTGACTTGGACAGAATTAGCTGTTGAAACTCTCCAGCTACCCAAAATAACAGCTTGAAGGGCTGGTACTTTTAACACTTTGTGCCTCATTTTTAACCATGTTTACAATTATAGAGCTGAAAAAAACCCACTGAGCACCCTTATACACTGTGCTTCACAGAAACCAGGCAAGTATCTCTTGACCCATCCCTAAATGATACCGGATCAAAAATCTTTCTACGGTAATTCTGGGTTTCCACCAAAAGTCAGAGCCCATGTCTGTATTACATCTTCTATTCCCTTATTTTATTCACTGAATTAAAAGCATTGCAAAAGCTCCAGAAAGTCTGCTATGACACATATGCCTTCCTCATGTCCCATGCGGGTAACTTTCTTTAAATCTAAGCTAAATAATTTCAGGATAAAACCTCTCACATGGTCTCAGAAACCTGATGTCTAAGCCCATGCTGCAAACAACACTTAATTGTGAGCATCTGTGCAGCAGGACCCAGTGTGCAACAGGGACCAACTTCCCCAACAGCACTCTCATAATCTTGGAGCCTTTATTTCAAGAGCAATCAACTCTCAGCACCTGAATACAAAACTTTTTGGATTCAAATTGCTATGGCAGTTGCAAGTACTGAAGTAGAAGAGTTTCCTAGGATTGGATTAATTATGGAACCAACAAGGCTTTAAAAGGAGGAGCTTAGTTGTAGCCAAAGTAAGGCATTGGTGCTGCATGTGATGGTGCAGTCTTCCCTGATTTTACACCCTAAGTGGAATTGTGTCTTGTAAATGTTTGGATGAGAGATGGCAGAACTTGAAAGCTGGGTCTGGAGCATACACTTTTCCTAGTAGTTGTCTGAGAGATATATTCCCATTATATGGGACTATATGGCTGTTGTAGGTCCCTTCCAACAGAACTATTCTATTCTATTCTATTCTATTCTATTCTATTCTATTCTATTCTATTCTATTCTATTCCCATATTTGCACAAAATTAATGCCCTCTCCAAAAATATTTGGCTTGAGATGTTCTAAAATGAAGAAAAAGCCAAAGCATCAGTCTCATAAACATGTGAGCTGAATTTTAGACTTTCCAAATTCCCTCTCTAAATACAAGCATATTCTTGCAGGAATAGACATGCACAGGCTCATCCTGAAGTTGTTTGAAACAGCAAATTACCAGCAGTTAAGTCAGGATATTTCCTCCTTGTTGCAGCCTACACAGAAACAGAGGAGCACATCTTTCCCTCCACTCTTAATGTAAGGACCTATTTCTGTTGTTTCTATGATGATGCTATAAAGAACTCTCGGCCCTCATTTTCATACCTGGGAGCTCATTCCTGAAAATTTCCCTGATAGTAAATCCAAAGATTTGTCCTTGAGAGAAGAAACCCCACACTGCAAAAATCTAGTGACATACCACAGAGACTCGAGGGCATCGCTGATGGCATCTGCAAAGTTTTTGTCTGTTGGGACACTGAAGTACTCGCGGCAGTAACTTGGTCTGACTCCAAGGATTTCCACCTCGCAACCTACGAGCAAAAAATGTGGTGAGCTCTGCTATTTCACCTTGATCACAGACCTCACACTCTGGTGTACAAGTTCAGGTCTGTAAATTCCCTGTGACATTACTTACCTTATGCCTTCCCTGCAGGAAACCATGTGGTTGGCAAGGGAAAAGGGGGGAGAGATTGGTTTGACAAGTGCTTGTAGCAAGCTGTACATTGGACCCTTTTATTTCCCTGTCTAAAAGGAAGGTCTCTGTGTGACCTGCCCACAATAAAATGCTTGATTCCCTCGTGGCAGACCATTTCCACCTAAATCACCAGCTTGTTTATATTTTAACTTCTGCAGCCATATAGCCTCATTTCCAGGCTTCCAACATAATAGATTTAGATATTGTTCTCTGAAACGTCAGCAAATACTTTCCAGTTAGGCACATTGTATCATATTGCAATATCCTCTATAAACTGTATTTTATTATGTGATACTGGCTCTCCACTATTATATCTGTTTCCCAGGAGGTCTTATTAAAACAGTGTAAACCAATTAACTCTCTTGGTAACTTGCAGCCTTTCTTGCAAAATAAAGTCTGTTTTGTGGCCTAAAAATTTATGGCAACAAATCCTACAGGAGAACATGGCCCTGAACATAGAAAAACATGTTTTTGTGAGGTTTCTTTGCCCTTTTGCTCTCCAGTTACTATGCTGCTGAATAATATTAATATTTAAAAGAAGTATGCTTCCAGAAACACTGGATTAATGCAAATTATCATTCCAGAACCCCAGAGTCCTCCCATCACAGTTAGATGTTTTATGATATATTCAGAAATACATCAGAAAACAAGGGGCATAAAGAGGAATCAAAACAAAAAAAACCCCTAGCTTTTGCAAAATCGCCTCTGTATACAGCAACACAGTCTGGTCAAAAAGGCAGCTCTAAGCCAAAACCTGAATCTGTACATCTGGGTCCCTCTCTTCTCCTTTGGGAGGAAAGTGAAATGCATTAAGGACTGTCATATATTGACTTGTTGCTTGGAGTGTGAGAAGGAGGTGTAAGTACAGAGAGGGCCCTAGAGCAAGCAGAGCAAGCAGAGCTACAGCACTGTAAATCAGAGGTGATTTACAGTGGTTTGCTTACTGGGACACTTAATAAAGTGAGTCTTAAGCCAAAGCCTGAATCTGTACATGTGGATCCCTCTGCTTCTCCTTTGGGAGGAAAGTGAAATGCATTAAGGACTGTCATATATTGACTTGTTGCTTGGAGTGTGAGAAGGAGGTGTAAGTACAGAGAGGGCCCTAGAGCAAGCAGAGCAAGCAGAGCTACAGCACTGTAAATCAGAGGTGATTTACAGTGGTTTGCTTACTGGGACACTTAATAAAGTGAGTCTGTCAGTCTTGCATCTCAGCTCCCATGAGCTCACATCACTCAAGTGCAGTACTGGGATGCAGGGAAAAGCACACTGCTCACAGGCTAAGCTAGGAGTCTTCTGACGTGATAGTTCAGGAGTGAAAAATTAGAAAAACTTAAATGTTTAAGCTTAGGAGATTTTTAAAACCTTCAATGATTTGCAGAAAGCCAGATAAATCAGATGGAAATTATCCTTTCCAAAAGTTAAAGGGCCGTAGCACACTTGACAGATTCAGTCTCTTTGCCTGTGATAGCAGCTTCCAGGTCTCCACATGCTTTGTGTGTTTCAAGGGACCCCATCTGTTATGATTAATTAATTATTTGCAATAATAAACATCAAATGTAGTCAACTGATTTATTTTCCTCTAAAAACACATTTGCCTACTCTTGAAGCTACATCCAATTTTTATTTCTATTAAAATTGTGGGATGGTGCTTACTTTTCATTCTTCCCCTGTTGCCCCAAACATATGATTTAATCTTCCACTTTTTGCATGAAAATACCTCAGTGTTCATCTCTCCACCATGATCCACCATGACAGTTGTCTGCAGCCTGGATAAACAGCCAGCAGATTATGTGACAAGAGCTGACTGTCTAGATCACCCCACAATAAAACTCCTATACATCTGCACACAGCATCCCCAAGAAATTACACTGTGCAGCAGAGATGGGTCCATGCTGATACTGAACCAAATCATCAGAAAAATGTATTCCATTAATGGCCTAAAGTCATACCCTGCAAGGCCCCTACCCTGAGGGCACAGAGATCCAGTCTTTTGTGGGATGTCCTGAGTGCTACCAGCGGCAAAACAAGGGCTTTCAGCTACCTCAGATGCTAGAGAGGATGCAGTTGTCTCTATGGGCTTTGCTAGTATTTCAGGACTGAACTGGAACTTTGAGCCAATTTCTCTTTTCATACTTGAGTCTGGCTCAATATCGTCTCCAAAACCAGGCAAGAAGTTAAGAATGCATTTGCAAAGTTGTTATTGTTAAATACCTTGTGTTTAACTTCAGCTGGATAACTGCTCATAGCCAGTGACTAATATGATCATTTTGCCTCTTTTTTCTTCAGATACTGACATCAGATTGTAATTTTCTGAAATAACTTTCCTCAGAATTACTCATGAGATAATTTTAACTGGGAGCATTAACCTCTTGGGAATCTGGATATTTTAGTTTCTGAGCTATCTTTGCTATTTCTAGATTGTCAAATGATGAGCATGATGTAAAAGACTACAGGGTAGCAACAATTAGAAATAATTTAATAATTTTGGCCATGAAATAGTGGTCTTCAAGTGTGCAGTTCACTGACAGTGCCATTTGAAATAATGTAGACACCAAGAGCTTGCTTTTTTTTTTCTTTTTTTTTCTTTTTTTTTTTTTTAACCTCTATGATGAAACCATTTGAAATAATTTAGACACCAAGAGCTTCTTTTTTTTTTTTTTTTAGCCTCTATGATGAATAGAACTTAAATTAGGGTTTTCAATGTTAAGGCTTATTACAAGTCCTAGAACTTAAATTAGGTTTTTCAATGTTAAGGCTTATTACAAGTCCAAAATACTGGCTACAAAGACCCTTTAATATTTAAATTTCATTCTGGAAGAGGCCAGGATAGATGATAAATTTTCTCTTTTAGATATTATGGGAAAGAAAATTTAAACAGATTTGGAGGCAGCCAAAGGGAATGCTAAGTTTTTCTTGGTTAAACTACAAATAGTTAAGCTGTATTTACTAAGATGTAATGCTAGATACCTTTGCATAGTTTTGTATGATGCTAAACCTTTATTTAAAAACCTGAACTAGTGGAGCAGGAATATGGACTTCTTTCAGAGTGATAAACCCCTCTTTATCTATCTGACATGGAGACCTGAATCTCTGCCAGCTTTAAATTACATTTCTAAACATTTATTTAACAGTTGGACACTTCATGTCATAACAGAAGATTTTGAAACCTTTCCAGACTAGCTCCATGGTCTGGTAAATATTATGTTTAAATGGCAAAAGTTGAGTTTAGAGTCTTTTTTCTTCCCCCCTCTGTCCCTCATTTCAGTATTTAGAGAAGCTGTCACTGCACTTCAGCTGAAGTAGTTGCATGGGCTGCTGGAAAATGAAGGAGCTTGAGCATCTGGGATGATGCCACTTACTGGGCTGAGGGTGAGGACAGTGGTCCTGGTCAGGTTTTGACCAGGATGCTCTTGCACTCCTCTGGGCATTCTCCACCTGCAGTGCTTTGGACAGGCAGCCTGGGTGTGAGGCTGTGCCTTTCACCCCACACAGAGCATGAAGAAAGGAGAAAAACATCCCTACAAGGCAAGGCCTTATGTTTTGGCAGAAGTGGCGTTTGGGACTCCCAACATGGCGATAGTTTGGCTCCTCTGCTTCTAGACTCATGAGATCTCAGATGCATTCTGTCCATGGGTTGTCTTTGCTGGGTTTATGTTAGGCTCCCAGATAAAGCTGTGTGATTGTTTGCATCCGAGAGCTTTCCTGTTCTGTGTTCCTGTGTGCTGGGGTCTGGATTTTATTTCTTCAGGCAGTGACTACACATGAGAGGGGAACATAGGGAAGAAAATGAAGCAGCAGATTTTGGGTTCAGACTTTGCAAATCTTGGAACTGGCTCTGAGGAGGAAATGACACTGGTGAAAGTTAATCTTGGCAATCAGCACTCTGGCATTTCCAATGCATTCCTGCTATGGTTCATTGATCTTGTTTGTCTTTACTAATAGCTAAAGAGAAAACAGCATCTTCCAGAACAAAGTATGATGAATTTGGCTATATATTGCAGTTCCTATTAAGAGTTTCCCAAACTTTTCCAGTTTGTGTCTTTATCATAATTGCATGATTCATTACTAAGCAGCAGTGTATCTATGTTTAGGCTGGAAAGCTAATCACTAATAGCAGGTCATATGCAGTGCAAATGCCTGTGGGACCTCTGCTCACCTTTGGTTTTATTTTGATTTTGTTTGGTATTGCTTCCCATTCAAATGGCTTGTTAAGAATTTAAGCTTTAAAATTATAGAATTTTTAGAAAGGATTTTGTCCTTGCTATGGAACAAGAAAATGCTTGGGAAAAAAACCATATAGGGAAAATGTAACAAATGCTGTTGCATCTGAAGTGACTTCTGTTCAGCCCAGTTATACCTGGAGTCCTACTGCAGCCTTGCATTTTAGTTTAGTAGTTCCACATTTCTCTCTGCTTCCTGTGTCCGACCCTGTATGGCCAATGTGTCCTTTGAGACCACGAGTACCCGTAAAATAAACATGTGCTTCATGCTTTTGCTGAACTGGAGCACTGATGGCTTTGCCAAAGGTCAGCCATCACAGATAAATAATTAAGGATACACAGAGTTACATGTCACAGTCCACAGCTAAAATGCCAGATCCATGCAAAAATTCCCCCTCTGTGTCATAAGAGAGTTCTGTGCGTACACTTGGGAGTGTAAGCACTGGGGAAAGAGGGTCTCTTTTGTTCCTTGCAATTTTCTGCTAGAAATTGCAGGCAGAGTGAAGAGTATACATATATGTACAGGGATACATATGTATACACCTCATATGTTTTCTCCCTGGGAAACACTGCTCAAAGGGCAACATGAAGAAGCTAGGTGAAGTCCAAAGGCACTTCATAGAATGTGATACTGTTTTTTTGGATTTCAGCAGCTCTCTGTAGGCTGTTACATCTATTCAGTACATAATTATACCTATCGAGAGCAATTACAATAGTAGTTAAAAATGATTAATCTACAGAAAGAGATATTTTTGTAAATTTTTAGAAGAATTCCTACATTCTTCTATAATTTCTATATCCTACTATTTGCCTTGTTCTTAGATCACTTGAGGCATCTTCAGTAGGAAGCAGCCTTTTTTCAAGGCTGATGTAAACTCTTTGACTGCCTCTGAGTCCATAAGGCAATATTGTCACCCTCAGACCTTTTTGCCTTTCAGTACTGTAGAAGCACTCTGGATGGCTTTTCAATGTTTTTCATCTTGGTTCACTCTTTCTTCCCATTCCTTAGAATTGTGGGCTTTCTGCCAGGACACCCTTAGCCACATTGCATGGAAAGACTGTGGCCAGGCACACGTGCATTGGGATGCAGAGACGAGCTGGCCAGGAGCCCATGGCGTGAGTCAGCTGCCACTGCCCTGCTGGCACTGGCTGTGTTCAGTACAGCTCTTCTGGCAGCTCTCTGGTCCTCCAGCCTGCACTTGCACATTGAGGGTATCTGCAGACTGCTTAGGGTAGGCAGCAGTTAGAAAGTACAAAAGTTGAGAATCTGGGTGCTTTGCAAGGGATTTGGTCTGGTTGCTCAGCTGGAACATCTATTTCCATGTGAGTCCCTAAACGTATAGCCTAAGGGGATACAATACTTCTGTTTGTTAAAAAGGACTCATTATTACACATTCCAGTGGTCCAGTATCTAACAAATGAAGAACAGAAAGGCCAAGTCCCTCCAAATGAATGGCTCAGACTCAGACCAACTGGGACCACAGATGAATTAACAATGAAGGAGGACCAGAGGACAAGGATCTTTTGCTTTCAGCTGGATTTTTTTGTCCTCATAGAGAAGATCATCTTCAGCAATCAGCTACTAATTTCCAGATTAAAACCAAAGAAGCATTGGGGGAGGGTGATTACTATTTAACTTTGATTGGACAGTGAATCATCCACAGAGCAACCACTCAGCATAGCAGAAGGTACAGGTGGGCGAGAGGAAAAAGCAGTTGATGGAGCGGGGGGATGATTTTCAAGACAGCACCCTCCTGAAGCGAGCATTTAGTGGAAAGCTGACTCTAGTGACACTTCAGTCTTCTCCTTTCTCAGCACATGGAAATTATCATGACCAAAGAAAAGCTAATTCATTTCTATGTCTGGTTAGTAAAGCACACACAATTCCTATCTGTATTTTAGAACTGTATTAGAGAGCCATTCCTACAGCATATGGAGTGCTCAGATGTCACGGTGCATTGTAGCAATTCTTCACATACTAACCTGGCCAGTAGTACATGGAAACGTTCTTTTTAGCTTTCATCATCGTGACCCACAAAGGCTCTGATCCATTCCACCAGAGAGGCAGCAGGCTTTCTTTGTTCACACCAATATCAAATGATACATTTGCCTTCTGGTCCCACATGTAGTTTCCAGTCATCTGATGGACCTCGCAGTGGCGACCTTCAAGAATGGAGAAAAAAGCAGCACAATCAGACTGGTGTTCCTCAGTAGAAGGATGCTGGCACCACCACCACTGCTACTACTGAATCATCCAGCAAATCAGCTGAAAAGCCCTGTCTTGAATTCCAGGATCTCTCACCTTGCAACCATTCATAAAATCTCCCTGACTCTTAGCTTTCACTGAGGTGCTCCAGTTTGATTACTAAATCCCCCAGTTCAGACACCCAAAGTTAGTTGCTAAAGTTTGTCAGCCCCTGTGTTCCCTTCACAATCAGATAAGAAGAGTCATGTCTAGAAAGCAATTCATGCCACCCTAAGATAGGCATCTCAACTGTCTAGAGGTGCATACACTCTCAGTTATTGGTAGCCTTTTCTCAGCTTCGGGCAGTCAAATTTTAGACAGCTGAGGCCAGAAGGAACAAACCCTGCACCCCACGTCCTGCTCAACATTTCAAACCCAGCCACACACACAAACTCTGTCAACAGCAGCCTGTGTGTGCCACATGTTTGGCTGACACCTGGCTCCTTCTACACACACAACACCTGCCAAGTCTGAGGCCATTTTAAGATACCCATCAGCACTCACAACCAGAGGGCTGTGGGAAGCAAGCTGTGAACAGAAAGTGATAAGAGCACAATCTAGAAACACAGAACAAAGATTGAGAAACTTGCGTTTCTTCTTCCTTTATGCATAGGGCACATTGGTTTTCTGCAAACAGGCAAAAACTAGGCAAACACATTTATATGTTACTTTTATTTTCCATTTCTGTTAATTTTTCTTTTTTTTTCTTGTAATGATCATGCTTTGTTCTTGCTTGTGGGCACAGAAATAATTTCATTAGACGTGTTCAGCCTCTTACTGTACTGAGGGACTCATGGGCAACTTAATATTACAAGAAATTAGTATATAATATCTGAGAGATATCTACTTCTTGCAATTGTCAGAAGAGAAGATGCTATATTTTAATAATTATTCTGAATATGATTTAATAGAAATGAGAAAAGAAATGTTGAAGAATAAGTTGTACTGGAAGTTCCTTATTTACATATCTTAAAAAAGCAATGACTGAAGCATGTGATAGACACTGTCCTCATTACCTGATGAGTCATGTTATTACAGGAATCCAGATAACAGGCTTTGATTATTTTGAGCCTGAGGGTGGTGATCAGAACTGAAATAACCTTGGTATTCTTGTTCTGAAAAGATGTCATTTCAAGCAGAGGACTCTGTATACTTTGGGGTCATGTGATCTTGAAATGGATTTTGAACTCCCCTACTAAAAAGTATTTCAATTATGCAGAACATTTCCTCCTTCCCAGAGGAAAAAAGTGGTCCCAGTTTGTGGTAGTCAATACTTATCAACACTAATCCAAATAGGTTTAATAGAGAAGAACTGGTGGATTGGATGGGCAGTAATCTGCTCTCTTCAGGCTGCCATGTGCTCTCTTTTCTGTAAGTCTCAAAAGAGATAGAAGGGATGTCTCTACAGTGCATCAAAAGCACAGCAGTACAATTTACAGGACAACCTTATCTTCTTGAAGTCCACGTATTCCTAAGCAGCTATCAACCTGATAAACTGCAGCAGGCAATTTATGCCAGGCTGGGAAACTTACAGGTGAGTGCTGAAACTCTGTCAGTGTGAAACCTACATATTAGGGATCTGTATGATATATAGTGTAGTCTTCATATAGAATTAATGAGCTCTAGCTGCTACTGAGCCTATAGGTCTTAAAGTCTGCTGTTTGTCCACTTTTTTAAGGAAGAGACTGGAGATTGTTCTTTGTACTATTGCTGGGAAATTTAATTAACTGTTTGAACTAACACAGAGGACAGTGTTCTGTTCTCCACATTAGATTAGTTCAGTTTTCTATGGACTCCAAATCCCTTTTTTACTGTTGAAAAAGAGGCCTAGAAGACTACAAGGCATCAGTTTTCATTGCAGACATCCCTGGTTCACAGGGTCAGAAAAGAAGATCATGTGAGCAACACATCAAAAGACATGACCATTTAATGCCATTCATGTCTGCTTACCTGAGACCTGTGTCTCAGAAAGACCCTAGACCTAATTGGAAGATATCAATAATCAAGCAATTAACCTTTTCCTTCGGTTGCACCTCCCAATATTTGTCATCAGTTAACAATGTTCAAAAGTATGCCTGATGTCTAATATTATTTTTGACCTTTGTTAATCTTCAACCTTGGCTATTCTGAGCCTTGCTCACTAGATTGAAAAGCCCTGGAATAACTGGAATTTCTGCCCCTGCCCCCTCCCCCCAGGATATTCGTACACAGAATTAAGGCCAATTCTCAAGTTTCTTTTGGGTCACCCATCCAACCCTTTTTCTTTATATCCCATTTTCACTTGTTTTCTCCAGCCAAACTACTTTTGGTGTACTTCTTTTGAATCATTATCAAAACCACAACACGGTGTTAGAGAGTCACCGTAACTTTCAGAATTTATTACTTCGTCCATTACTGCAGCTTTCCTCTGTAATCAAATGTTATCTTAAGAGTTTCAAAAATAGAAACAGGGCAGAAAGCAATTTCACCATACAGATGTCACTATTTAAACTCGCTGTAATTGTAGTAAAAATAACTCCTTCCTCAAATAAGAGAGGAAAACAAAGAGGGTATAGTTCCCAAGAATATGATAACTGCTGTATCCTTCTGGAGGAGAGCCAGCAAAAGCATTTGCGAGTCTGCATGCTACAGCTTACTTGGACACTACACTTCATACAGCATTTGTCTGAAGCACATTCCCATGTCTCCAGGCACTTTTGTCAGCATTCAAATGAATCTCTGCAAAACAAAGAGGAAATTTAAAAAAACAGCAGAACACACAGCCACTGGGCCACCCACAGCAGCAGCACAGGAACGCTGAGTGCTGTGCACCCTGTGAGATCTGGAAACCAGCGTGTGCACTCCTGGGGCATTTGCCATCTCTGCACTGAGCAAATGGGATTTACCAGAGAACCCACAGTGTGTGTATTAGCCAATGCAGCAAAGGCACCACAATCTGATGATGAACATCAGTACGTGCATTTAGCTAAATGTACTATGCAATATTATAAATATGCCTTGCTGCTATGGTGAGACCTTTCCGCTCGTGTCCCACCACGATGTCCCCACTCTCTGGAAAGGGACAAGGGTCAGGGGGACAGATCCAAGCACAGGCTGCCACAGGGCTATACAGTCTGGGGAAGAGTTAAGTTCCTCCATGCAAACAGCTGGATGACTTGCCTTGGGAAATGCTCTGCTCTGCTCATGCTGCCTCCCATAAGGATGAAGAAAGCAGGACTTAAAAGCCACCAGCACCATATTCCTGTTCTGGAGCAGATATAGCAGTTGCTGTCCCCAGGAACTAAGCTTTGACATATGCACTGCTCTACTGCTCCCCTGATGGGTCTCACCTGCTCTGCTTTGAGGAGAAAGACCACAGGAAAAAAACCAAACCCATGTGCTAAACCCTAAGTAGCCTGGAGAAGGCCAGAACTCATGAGAAGTCTTAGGGGAGTGCTGCCCTGGGCAAAGTGGCCCTGCCATCTGCAGACCCCCCAGTAAAAACAGTACTTGTACATGATGTGCATGGACAATTCATGTTCCAAAGGAGTTTTCTGGTAAAGTCTTTCCAAATTTTTATGACCTCTAATATCAGACAAAGCCAAAGTATGAACACCTTAGCCTGTGTCAGGCAAAACTTTACAATTCAACCAGAATCACATCAAAAAGCAGAGAAAAAAATCTCTGCTATACACAGCATTATTTTCTCCCCTAAAGGGGATTCATTTAGTAACAGCTTGAAACTCTTAATTCAATGCTTTCTTCATGGGGCCAGGGCTGGGGTGCACAAAAATTGCTAATAAATCATCCAGCTGAGGCTTTGCAGATGCTTTCTTGTGTGGGAAGTCAGGTCTTGTGTCCCTGGAGAGCCAGGACTCCGAGCTGTTGATTATTCTCCTGAATTGTGGTGGACTCAGGGACCACTCTGAGACCCCTGAACCCCCAAGCTGGGTGTGGCTTGAGGGCACTGAAGCTCCAAGCACTGGGCAGAACAATGGACAAAGCTTCTGCCTGCAGTTAGACAGAGGATGAGCCTCTGGCAGTGACTTTACTCTGGGCTAAGAAATATCTTGATATGTGAATGTCTACTTAGCTAACAGCTGGCAGTAGGTACACTAGTTGTGAGCTGTGAGATTGTAGCTAATAAGGAGGAAAAAACTGCATATTTTAATTTGTAGCACTGTGAACTTGGGTTAGAAAAAACTTCCTATTCTATATTTTAGAAGTGTTTCCATTTTTTAACTGGTAGAAAGCAAACATCAAATTTTGCAATATTTTCTGTGAGAAAGAGAAAAATCTTGATGCTTGGCATAGCAGCCTTTCTGCAGATGGTGAGTAAACAGAGTGAGAGAAAGAATGTGGAAAAAATCCTCCTGGTTCCTAGTATCTTTTCCAGCCTGTTCTTGCTGGGATAGTACCCTTTCTCTGCCAGTTAGCAGTATTACCACAGCTTATTCTATTTTGCTTCTTCCCAGCACAGAAATTTAGAAATATAAAGCTAATGAATCCAAGAAAAGGAAGATACTTGATTTCAGAGCTTTATGTCACAAACAGAATTTTTAAATCTCTGCTGCTGCTGGCATCTGTAACTGTTTGAGAGGACCAAGAAGAAAAAGTCATTTTCCCTTGTCACTCATTGTGCACTTTGTGTCCTTCTGGACTTTTTCTAAGCTTGGACAGTGAAGTAAAGATAGCTTTAGTTCATGTGTATGTAATAAGCTTCCCTGTTGTACTCCTATCCTTCCATTTTTTGTGCCTCAGAAAACATGCAGGTATCGTTTACATAATTAAGAACTTGCTTAACTGCTGAACAGAAATTGTCAGCATCCTTTTCTGGATCAGGCTGGAGTCAAGATGCCATTAACTGTGCAGCAGAAAAGAGGCATCCACTAGAACCATCACCAGGCTGGGCTTCTTTCAGGTACTGAGTGGAAGGAGC